AAGCGAGATAAATGAGGATTGCTTCAGTCACACTGCTTGTTTAGTTTTTAAGGAAGGTAGAATTACACATCTGTGGGTTTGCTTTAAGCAAACATGAAGCAAAAGCACAATTATTAACACCCAAATATGTAAACTAGGAAGGTTGTGGGTTACTGGAAATTACATAAAAATGTCACAAAGTCCCAAAAAGTCATTTCCCAAAAAGGTAATTACATTTTGTAGAAGGGCAGATATTTTCACAACATGTTAATAACTGTGCTTTTGTAACAGCTTTGCTTAAAGCAAACCACAAATCTGTATTTTAAGTAAAAATAAACTATGAATTCCAACACATGAACTCAGCCTTCTCTCCTATTCCTGATAAATAATGTCTAAGTAAAGTGTGAAGGCAAGGCTGATTAAAACAGATGGTCAGTTCTCTTCTGAAGCAGAGCAGATACGTGTAATACTACCTCGTCTATTTCCTTTACTAGCAGCTGGTTATTGATGTCCCCACAAAGTTTGGAGTTGCTGACTTGACTTATGTGTGGCGAATGCTCTAGTAAAGCAAGACTTGTACTAATGTGCTCATTGAAGAAAACTTGTTACTTTTATCACTAACTACAAGGGCAAAATTCAAGGTTCAAATAGTAAATCTTTGCATTGATTTTTCATAAAATGTAGTCAGATATTAATAAAAGCCACAAAAATATATCTGCCTAAACTGATAGCTTTCAATGGCTGGTAATTCATCGAACACACTGACTAATCATTAACATTCAGGGCTAGAAAAAGTATTTGCACTTCTGTGCTGATTACTTCTTCTAAGGCTTATTGGGAGTTCGGTTTTTCACAGCACTTTAGAAGACGCATTATAGGGATACACAAAGCTGGAAAGGCTACAAAAGCTGTTCTAAAGACCTGAGCATTCAGTTATTGACAGTTAGATAAATGCTCTACAAATGGTATTCTCCTTAGGAGATCCTAAGGAGCAAAGATCACACCAAATGTGAAAAAACAGTAGCAGCAAAAAAAATCAATAAAACCTCGAATGAAAGACTGCCACACTAGTCTTAAAATAATAAAAAAACAGTTTTAAAACTTTACACCTCTTAACAAGATGGCAGACACTTATCTGGAAATTTAACTGACACAACGTCGCCAATGAGAGCAATGAGACAAAGTTTCAATTTTCTTTGGAGGAAAAAATGTGCACCACATCATGGTGGAACACTTCATGATTTGGGATTTCTTTGTTATCCTGTTCCAGTTCAACATTTTTAGGTGAATGTCAGGGCAGCAGTTCATGACCTGAAACTCAGTGTGGGTAATGCAACAAGACAATGAGCCTAAAACAGAATGATGGGGGAAAAAATCCATATTTTGGAATAGTAAAATCAAAGCCCTGACCCGACCTTAATCCAACTGAGATGCTGAGGGCTGACCTAACAAGGGCTGTTAAAACATCCTAGAAACACAGCTGCACTAAACAGCACTGTAGTGACATATTGTCCAAAATTCCTCTCAAAAATCTCATAAACAGGTATAGGAACATCTAATTAGGGTCATTTTTGTTAACCTAAATTGCAAATAAACAGATAGACCTGTAGAAAAGATTTAGGTATATGTCTCGTAAAAAATTACTAATAAATAAGCCCACTTTTACACTTTTCTTATGCAATATTATTCTAAGAATTAAGTATAAATTAATTGACTTTTGTCCTGAAAATTCAGAAAGTCTCTTGCTGTTGTTACATGATGTGTTTAATAACGATACTGAGAGCACAAGGGTACATGGTTTATTAGTTTAGGCACTTTATGTGTAGCCAGTTCAGCAATCCTGATAATTTCAGACTTTTTCTTGCAGCTATGGTGTGCGGTTTTAGAAACAGTATCCAGCTGTGTGTGTCATCATCAACTCACAGACTCCTGCAGCTTTGCGAGGTGTGGCGTAATATCAGTCTATCCCCCACAGGTCAGTAAATAATGCCATGACTGTGCCTTTATCAGACACTCACCAAGATCCTATTCACCACAGCAGGACTTCCATACCACCACTGAGCAGATGGTATGTCGTTCAAAGTTCTTGGAAGCCAGACTCAAACAAGTTCCCTCTTCCTCAGACCTAAAGACTGCTTGAGCCAGACCAACTGTAGGCAGCTGCTGTGAATAGCATCTAAAGTGTGTATGTGCATGCAGGTTTAATATGGGAAATTAATAGTGTTGACGCTACACTGATTGAAAATGAGGTCAGGCATGTTAAACAAATTTGTAAGCTGTTTTGGAGTTGATAAAGGTCATTTG